TTCCTTTCTGGAGGCATTCGCAACACATGTCCAAGCCATCGCAGCTGTGACTTCTCAATTTGGAGAAGCAGTGGCTGTACACCAAGGCTCTCCCTGATGACACTGACATTTTCTCACAGAAAGAAACGATGATATAATTATCTTACTTGGTTGGAGGACAGAACAGATTATCGCATTCCATAAGCCAATAGCATTTGAGTCAAGACAAAATGCAATCACATGAGACACCTGCTCGAGACAAGATGGCCGTGTCTGTCATTCATTCTAGTAAGACGACACCAAAATACCACCCTGCTTCCATTATTGGCACTTGATAGCCGTTTTGCGGCTGGTTATAGCTAAACAACGTGGGGTAAAATGAAAGCTTCAGCGAATTCGCCAAAGGCAAACTAATTCTTTATATTGATCAGAACCTGGCGTCGACGGAGTTCGAAGCCCGCCCCTTTTGCACACTGCCTCCGCCTCTAAATCAGCTGTCAGTTCCAACTGTGTATGATGCGTTTTCCTAAATGTTTTGCTGTCCACTAATTTTTAGGCACTGTGATTTTAAGATATTACTCATGATTCAAATTATTTTACATAATTCGACATGAAATTCGAGTAATCCTTTACAAAGTGGCACCTAATACCAAATCGTCATTTAAATATATGCCCATAACTGATTTTATTAACTCATCTAGTCGGTTAAAGCAAAATGCAACCACTGAGAACACATCAGATAGAATTTCATGTTCGTGTCACTCAGTGTGGCATGTAAAAAAAAACGCCCTACTGATATTACGATAAAGTCAATAATTTTCTTCCCCAACGTTTTCGACTACCTGTACTGAAACACCATGGAAAAAACTCCTTGCTCACGGGAATTAGCAGTTATAAGTAACAATATATGCGTAGCTTAAGGTTTGAATTTAGCAGGTCTCTGGCGCAAAGGAAATTATTTACTTGATAGGTTTCTATGTTGAATATTCATCTACGCGTAATAGAAATTCAGTTCGTTAGTTGCATGAGATGGCCTGTCACGATTATGAAAAATAATAATTGTTTTTCGTACATAATATCTGTCCTTATGAGCACCGATACGTCGCATTGTTGTGCATAAAAACGGCAGAATGCAATGCAGCCACAAGTGCACTCAGTCAACGCCAACTAATACAGTTATGTCAGTTCAACCTTTTTTCCTGTGATGGGTCTGTAAGAATCCTTAAAAGTTATGGCACCCAAGCCTACGGGCGGCGATATCAACTGAAAGCCGGTGTTGCGTTGAAGGGAGTCTAAGTACGTGATACAAAAAGGAATTGAATTTTGTTTGCGATGGACGATTAACACCCTGAAACAGTGAGCGCCGCAGCCTCAAGGCGCACTTAATAAGCTGCATCCCAATTCAAACAATAAGATTATTCAGCCTCGATTGACCCATTCTAGAAGCCAACAGCATTTCTCGGCGGATGATCGTATAGTGTTTCTTCTGCCTGCAACTCGCCGAGGATCTGAAAGCCGGTAAGGGTAAGCATCACTGTGAGACTCGCATCTAAAAAAGGCCGCAGAAACTCACTCAAAAAAGAAATGTTGATACTTTTAAATACTGTAGATAAGCTTTATTTTTTCATGCCCTTTAAGTGCCACCGGGAGCATGGTCACTGCAGTCAAACCTGTTGTTCAAAAATGTTGTGAAACAGCGTATAATGTTCATTCACGCTACTGTCTTATTCCGATGTGAAGAAAAAAATTTTGCTACGCCATATTTACTATCCATTCTCATGTGTTTCGTAATGTAGGAGTCTCTGTTTTATCTTCAAATAAAAAGAACAGCCCTGGTCTCGGACGTGGGAGACAAGCAGCAAAGTATGGATGAACTTTTAAACAGAAACCAAAGGTTTGTGGTACCTTATCTTAGGGTAAGTTTCGCGACGCGTACCATTCGCTGCTTCTTTGCAGAATAACTATCATTTTAGGGCGGCTCTATTTTCCATATGATCGACCAAGTTTTTTCATCAGGTGGATCGGTTGACATATTTCAGCTCTCCCTTAAAGTAAACATTATCATATTTCAAATAATGTATTGAAATATAAACGGTAAATTTCAGAAATTGTTCAGCGAATTTGCATATCGAGCCATCAACAAGCATGACCTGCTGTCTATTTTCCAGAAGGTGACGACGATTAAGTGAATCTAATCGCAGTATATCAGGAAATTTTTTTTAGACCGTGACACAACACAATCAGCCCATTCTTGAAAATCATCTGCTGAACGTATCACAGTTCCTGACTCCTTGGATTACCCAAGGAGGATATCCGGTCATTACCGTAACGAGAAACTATACAGCTGGTACAGCTTTGTTATCGCAAAATCGATTCATTTCCACCAGCAAAAATAAGTATTGTTGCACTGCTGTGTATTAGTATGTCTGTCTTGGCATTGTTGGTTCATTTTAGTGACACCTGGACCATTCCGCTCTGGTACATCCAGAATGCAGCACAGACACCAAAATTCGTATGGATTCCGCATGATCAGCGCTTGAAAACAATAAGTGCCATCCGTAGTTCGTGGTTGTTGGCGAATTACCGTCAATATGGATACTACATAGTCAATTACGATGCTGAAAATTGGCAGCTACTTGCAAATCAGCTGAACAAAAATCATACGGTATGGCAGTTGACTGTGTACTGCTTGGCGTATGTCTGTCACCGCAACACAGCGTCACAATTTTTCCGATTCGAAACGATGAGCGGTTAAACTTGCTTCACTTCGTAATAACTGTTTCTTCGAAAACGCTTTGGTTATCGCAAAGGGTTTGATAGGGGGAAGGGTTTTCTCTTTGCCTGAAGAAACGGTGCTGTTTTCTCCCGTTAACAGGACGTATTAAAATTCTGTGGAACGGCTGGCAGCAAAAACAGTCTCTCATTTTCCTAGAAGCAAAAGTGTTGTGCTGTTACGCAGGAGAAATGTCATTATATGGTTATTCTTCTAGAAATGAGCAGTGTGTTAGAATCAAAGTAGACATAAGTTCATTTAAAGGCAACTATTCTGATTCTAAGTCAAATATAGATCACCAGATGAACATAGCATGACCAGAGCTGAATCGACTTTCAGTCACCATCAACAAAATATTCATACCATTCTTTTTTTGTAAATGGAAATAATTAGTATTCGTTTCTTGATTTGCTTTATTTGTTTGTAGCAAATCCCTCTAGAAAATCGAATTCAACTCTTGGGGGATTCGTGGATGCTGAACAGGTTACAAGCAACTGGACATAAAATCATTAACAAAATAATGCAAATTGCTTATAGGAATAAGATGCTGACGAACGACCATTTTTTTAACGTGGCCGCTTACTTGAGAAACGAGCAAAACTTTGCTCCGTGGAAACTGCTACAGCCAATATTTGATAACATTGCCTTTCGTATGAGAGAAAGGCCGGAAAACGTGTATTACTTGGTATGCTTTACCTACGTGAATTCCAAATTTAAAAAATAATTCATTGTCAAAGCAGAGAAAACCTTTAGATAGATCGTAATCAATTTAATCATTATATATAATTGAAAGTTATGAGAATACTGCATTCACAATCTATGGAGAGAAAAAACATCCAGAAAAGCTGCTTTTGAAGTAAGTGTAGAAGTAACGTGTTCCTATTTCTCGATATAGTCATCACCAGGTCTGCTCCGTTAACCGAAGCACACTTAAAGATTATTCCTACTTGTTTCCGGCCATCTGTATATTTCGAATATTGCCACACGACCCATGTTTGAAATAAGACCGGACAATTGTAAAAATTATGCGAATGTGACCTGCCTTTGAGTGGCCATCAGAAACAGTGGCTATCACAAGTTCTCTTGCGGAAGAAGCCATCAGGAATAACTTGAAAACGCTGTAGCGAAGAAAATTACTTTAAATTCATCATAACTGATCTGCTACGCAACATTTGACGAAGTAGCGCTCGAAAGTACAAAATACAGCTAATGTTCATATCCGGAACAACTTTCACAGCATATAGCGTCCAACGAAACAAAGTTGTACCTATGAGGATTTCATCTAGAATATTCAAAAATCACGTTCCCTGTGCAGTACGCACTACATGCAATAAGTACAACACCACAGAGTAGAGGCATAAGACAAATTTCAACAGACTAAGTGCCGTTTTCGTCAAAACTGCAAAATTAGAATGCAGTAAAAGGTACAGGATGAAGGGATGGAAACTCCAGTCAGTCATATTTTCTCATGTGAACCCTTAGATATTCTTAAATTATCGGTAAGAGATCAAACATCAACCGGTTGTTAAAAAGTGCGATGAAATGAATAAAAATGATTTCAGGCATTTTGAAGTGGAACCAGATGACAGGATTATATCAGGAAAAAATTATGAGCAGGAAAATATAGATCATCTTGATAATCAAGCGAAGGGTCTAATTATATGACTAAACTTCTGTTCATGAAGCATTAACAGAGATTACGTAATCGATCATGAATTTTTCACGAAAAAATCAAGATTTAATTCATATTTATTCCATTGGCATTTGGCAATGATTGTCTTTGCATATTGTCCCACTTTTGGGTTAGGCATGATTCGTAAGCTTACTGGCTAAAAGTAATATGCGATGCCATCGAGTATTTGAACTGTGAACTGCTGAAGGGTTCAATG